AAAATAATTAACCAACTCCACATTCTAACAACATTAGAATAATAAATAAATCCAAACTAACTTAAAATAATAATAATAATAATAATAATTTATATAGACTCCAAATCTTCATCTGATTCCAACTAATCTCCCAATATCAACCCAAAAATCACTATTAGAATTGTAATATCCCAAATTTTCGGGAATATTTAAGTGTAAGTTAGGGACTTGATTGTGAGAAAAGATTGTTTTGGAGCCTAATGTGAATATTTCAAAAGTTGAGGGACTTAAAAAGGGAAAGATTTGGATAAGGATGACTTCTTTCCTTTTTCTTTTTCTTTCTTTCTTTCTTTTCTTCCTAGCCTTGCCCGATTTTGCTCTTCTTCTCCTTTCTTCTCGCTGCAGCCACTCGAAAGAAAAAGAAAGAAACCCAGCCATGCCTTGGAAAATTGGTGAGAAAGCTTGGTTTTCTCCTTCTTTTCTTGCTCTAGAACACTTCTAGAACCTAGAAATTTCCCCTCCCTCTCTGCAGAAACCGGATCTGCTCTGCTTTGCTCTGTCCGCCGGCTGCTCTTGTTGTGGGGGGCGAATTGCTTGGGTTTTGGGTAAGAAACAGCCATTAAATCCCTTTTTTTTTTCCTCGAAGTGGCTTGGGTTTACTTTAATTGCTCTTGTTCCTCCAATTTTGGGTAGTTCCGTGAGCTTCCCCCTGCAGATCCCGCCGACCTTCCCCAATCTGCTAGCTCCGGTTCCTTGCTTGTAAATTCTGGTATGTGACAGCCTTTTAAGGCTTAAATTATCCATTTAAAGTTGCTGCTTGTGATGTCCGAATTTGGCTAGGAAATGGGGAAATTCCGGTAGTAATTAAGTGAGATTTATGTGATTGAGTGTGTGTTGGTTGTTGTGATTTTTGGAGAAAATCCTGTGGAATTAGTTGTTTTGGCCAATTTGTGAAAGTCGGGGTTACTGTTCATGTCGTGGTACTGTTCATGGGTACGGTTCACTGGTTATTGTTCACACCCCGAGGGCCAACATTTAACGGGAATTTAAATGATTTGTTTATGATATAAGAACGAATTTGGAGATATTTGATCATGTGGAAAGTGATAGAAATAGCATTGTGATTAGGAATGATCCTAATGATGATTTCAGCTTGAATTTGTGATAGTCCGGTATTAATTCTGAGGTGTTTTGATTAGGTTCCCGATCATTCTGTCAGTTAGTGCGTGAATTGAGTGCTCGGTTTTATGCAAGTGAGGTAAGTAATTTATGGTAATGCCCGTACTGTTTTAAAAGCCTGTTTTGATTTGTTTTTGAAGTGGTGGCGAGACTAAACCCGTTTTACACGAGCATGACTGATTTGAAGTGAAATGTTTATG